TCCAATGGGAAGGACAGAAAGCAGCACAGGTAGCTGCAATTTTGTCAAGCAGCCTGTTCTTCCGCAGAGGGATCTTTGAGGACATGTAGTTTCTATTTACTGACTTTCTCCATTAGTACCCCTCAGTTTGGACAAAGGTCTGTCAGAGAAGTGTGTAGACAGTTTTACTATGCTTGCTTTCATTGGAGTCAGGAGGAGAAACCAGGATAATTCTTTTTGACTTATTCCACCATCCCACTGGTCAACCAATGGACTGGTTAAAAAACAAAGCAAAACAGCAATTTACCATTCTGCCACTTCACTGGTCTACTAATGAATTGATTTTTTAAAAAGGAAGGACTGTTTCACTGTTTCCCTTGTGTGTACGGAAGGGGAAAGCCCAGTAGTTCACCAGTCCTCTCTGAAATCAGGTTTTCCATAGGAAGACTCCTTTGGAAGAGGGCAGTCAGCCACTCACCCTAGAATGAAAATGTCACTGAGGGAGTGACTAGTGAGGAGAGGGAGGGGAGGGGGCGTACCCACCATAGCCCATATTAGCCAACTGGGGCAGAGGCAGTTGCCTGTGACAAAATGAAGTACAGCAGAGAGACCTCACAATTTCACTTGTGATACAGGTCAGAAAGCACTGCGTGTGACACAGAGCAAGAAAAGATGGGTGGGGGTTGCTTTCCCCGCAGGCTAGGGGAAGGTGAAAGATGCCCTCTTGTCCTCCAGAAATGGTAGGTGAGTTGTCTTCATACCTGGGTCAGCAGGATGTGTGGATGAGCTCTTTGTCTTTAGTAATAAAATAAAACAAGCCAGAAGGCTAAATTTGCCAAGTTTGTGTTTAGCTTTGTTTCCTGGTTTGACTTAGGAAGAAATGTGGGAGTGTCGTGGATTTTTTTCCCCATTCGTGTAGCAGAGAGACAAGCATTGAAAAAGCCAGAAGACTAGAATCTGCTTCTATTTGTGAAGTGGCTTCACAGGATGGAATTTTGAGCAGCGCAGATCTTGCTGTGTTTGCTTCTATACTATTCCATTCCTACTGCTTCATAGTGCCAAGAAAGCATTTACAACATTTCACTTTAAAGTTCAAGAGTTATCAATATTTATTTGCATTTGGTTGAAAACATGTCACATAAAGCCTATCCACAGGAGTCCACAAAAGTACACACATATATAAGCTTCCTCTTCTCAGATGTTTCCACTCAGTTCATGGGCACTGAGCCCCTTTGACTGTATGGTGATCTTCATGTGATAAATGTAGGAAGGGGACTTCTATTAGCACAAAAACCTTTTCTATTTTGGATCCATCTTTTTTAAATAGAAGCCAAAATGGGTTAAAGTTGAGGTGTATGGACAAACACCATCAGTACCATATTTCCTAATAACAGAGTTTACAAACTATAAGCAGCTCACAAAAATTACATTTGAATGGCAATTCTATTAATGGATGAATACCTTATTGCCTAAAATAGAAATCCTCTGTTGATCTTTATAGGGTGTAGAAGTCATACAGAATGTTGGAAATTGCTGCTGGCATATTTGGTTGACTGCTTATTATAAGGTCCCTGTGGTAACAGGATGTCTCTGCAATCCCACTAAGCTCCATTCTTCACCACCTGAACTCTCCCCTCCCCTCCCCTCCCCTCCCCTCCCCTCCCCTCCTTAAGGCTTAAGGCTGGCATGTTGCAGCGCACCAGCCTCCAACATTATCTTTGCTTTAAGAATGCCTCTGAGTCCCAAATGAACACCATAAACTTTCTTAGAAAATACAATGATGAATGGCTGCAGAACAATGCTCGCTCTGACAGTATCCCCATCTTCACAGGAAAAAAAAATTAAGATAGACTGGGGGTGATATGGAACATTCTAACTGGTTGGAAGGAATCACCATCACTAGTATTCCATCTGGTAAATGGATCTTTTGCGATTGCCATGCTCACCATGGCAACATTTTGCAAGAGCACCTATCACCTGCTCTCACAGTTTGGAAAGTACCCAGTGGCTGAAGAAATGCGGGGGATTCCATGTGTAGGTATATATGCTGCGTTCCTAGAGACTTTTCTCCAGCATTCACATGTATAGCCAAATACATTCGTGCGTGTGATATCCATATGTGGATTGCATAGGCCAATCATTTCTTTTTTTTAATTCATTTATTATGCTTTTTTTTCCTTTTGCGCAGTCTGTTGGCATTTGTACTGCCCATTTATAGTACAAAGTAAATGGAGCTGTCCAGTGGTATTCCCATACATAGCACTGATCTCACTGCCGACTCAGCTACTCCATGCTTTCTAGAGAGAGTGAGGGAGCAAGAGTTATTTTCCATAAATGGAGGGATATGGAATCCTGTTTTATTTGCTGAGGAGTGGGCATGTGCTTACTAACTCAAGTAACAAGTAAACATGAGTTACTAGCAAGCTTAATGAGAGTGTGAAGCATTTTCCTGGCCTGTCGAAATAAATAGAGGAAGACATAATAGGCCCAGATTTTCTTGGAATTAAAGATTTACTCAATGCACTCATCATCAAAATTACTGACAAAAATATGGATCTAAATTGATAAATCGTCCATTATAATTGAGATGAGTGGGGAATCCCTTCTCTTGTATATGTTATGGATCTAGAATCCCCGGTATCATTCACCCTTGATCACGCTGGGTGGGCTTACTATGAGCTTTTATTCTTCACCCCGTTTTAATCAGTATCTTGATAAGAGGCAGAATACAGATATTGTAATCTAATAACTTTGTCTGCCTTCTATGTGTATTCAGGGAATACTTGCAATTCCATTTCCTTTGTGAGTGATGAAGATGGCTCTGAGAAGGAAACCAGTGGTGAGGGCCAAAGTGTTATAATATACATAACCAACAATATTACTGAAATAAAATCATACTTAGGTATTGGGACTAATTAGAAGTTTAGTTTTCTTTCTTCAATCACTCAAAGCAATTGGGGCCTCAAAATAATGATAGCAATTGCACCTGTCCTAGACAGCTGCTTGTCTATGACACTATACAAATGCTTAAGTTCTTAGCTTGCCTTGGCACCCTCAATATATTCTTGATATATTATAAAAATAAATCTATCCCCAGAATATTTTTTGTCATTTATAACTAGCAAGTTTCAGAATAGCTATGCAAAAATACATTTGATTGAAATGTTAAGCAAGCTATAAACAACAGAAAGAAAGGTTGCCCCATATTTTATTTGGAAATTGCTATTCCAAGAGAGGGAATGCTTCCATGGTGTTTTACAAACTGCCTGGTCAATAGAGAAATAGGCCTGTTATCGACTTTGACCTCCTCCTCCTCCTCCTCCTCCCCCCCCCCCCCCCCCCCCCCCCC